GGATCAGGATTTATGCTCGGATTGGCAAACTCAGAACAAGGCAATTTCACCAAACAGTTTTAACTTAAGCTTCGGGTGTATCAAATAGCCCATTACCTTCCACTGGTTCACCCAACGGAGCTGGAAAAAAGAGACCGATGAAGCTGCCTCTTCTGTTTCATATTTAGAATATATGCATAAAGATTTAGAGAGAGAGAAAAAATATCCTCAAGACTGAATTTCAAGAGGGATGACTTCATCTTTCCAGAAGTCAACTTTTCTTATATGTCGAGCAACATTCCAGCTGTTCCAGCCTTTGGCGTCTACATTTCTCAACTGTTGTGGGCTAATCGAACATGGGATCTCTTCGAAGATTTCAAAGAACGTCATACTAATCTAAATGGTTTGATCAGGGTTACAGCATCCGATGCCTCAGTAAAGCTTTCAAAAGGTTTTATGGTTGGCATGCGGAGGACAATTCCAATTTGACGCATCAATGACGAAAATGATGCCTGGTGCAATTCCCTATTTTGACTTGTACCATATGTTGCCTTGTTTTCTTATTTAAATAATTGACTTGCATTTGCATGTGTATGCGGCGGTTGCCACCGGTGGGTCAGGATACACCTACCTTTTCGCGAACACCTGGTGCCATCACTATTTGACAGTGATTTATCAATATATGCTCATGGAATCTTACATTCGAGTCTGCTTTTAGAAGAGAGTTCGTAAGATGATGGAAAGGGTTTTGCTGCTTTTATTTACAGCTTTTAGCAAAGACTTATTCCGGCAATACCACAGCCAACCAAGAACGGACTAAACACAATTACCTTATGTCTGGTATAAAATCCGGGGTTTCGGCATGAAACGCGAATTCTTTACCACGTGACAACCTCATCGTTATATTTAAAGAAGAGGTGAGGTGAAATGGGTTTAACGGGCCGTTCTAGATTATTGCACTTATATAGCGACGTGCATGCACGTGTGTGTGTGTGATGCCGATTAATATTGCTAGCCCACTGAGATATCATGCCGTAGTTTAACATAACTACCCCACTCAGCCACGGTATACTGACTCCAAGCCGACCAGTCCTTTTTAGCCACTTAATGCCGGGCGCCAGACAGGGTAACAACAAGTACCATCTTTTAACGTCTTTTGGTATGACGCGGCAGGGGATCGAACCCCGGACCGCCGCTCTCCGGGTGGAGGCTCTAGCACTCGACCCCGGAGGTGGTTACTTAAAGAAGAAGAACATCTCATAAAAATTAAAACAATCTTTTGGAACATGGAAACCAATGATGCCATTGTTTAAGCATATCAGCTGAAAGTCGTTCCCTTGGAATGACGCTTTTAACTGAAGTCCTTTTGAACCAACCAAGGACGCCCTTTAAATGGCCATCCAACGAGTACAGATCTCACCCTGTTAGAATCCAACAGGGTCCCGTTCTACAAAGACGATCATAACTCCAATACTATAATCTTTTCATTTACGGTTGCCTAAGCTCTAACATGGCATTGAGGCTCCACATATCTGTATAAGTGAGGTGAGGTGAAATGGGGTTTAACGTCGCGTCCAAGACTATTGCACTTATATAGCGGCGTGCATGTACGTGTGTGTGTGTGTTTGTGTTTGTGTGGCTGCTTGTACTAGTCCGGACTGATGCCGATTTATAGTGCTAGCTCACTGAGATACCATGCCGCAGTTTAACATGAATATCCCACTCAGACACAGTGTACTGACTCCGAGCCGACCAGTCCTTGTTTTTGCCCTTTAATGCCGAGCGCCAGACAGGGTAACAACAAGTACCATCTTTTAACGTCTTTTGGTATGACGCGGCGGGGGATCGAACCCAGACCTTCCGCTCTCCGGGCGGACGCTCTACCATCTGTATAAATGAACAAACTATACATGAATAGACTTTATTCATCACAGATAAATCTGTACAATATATATAAATCTCTAAAATTCTCAACATTGTATGAAACAATGGCTTTGCGTCCTACGTGCCCAAAGGAACAGTTTGTTAAACTTGTTTACATAACAGTTGTAGAGATAATCACAGTGCAGTGAAACAAGGACCTTCAGTGTTAAATAGGGAGTTGTGAATAGTGCTCAATAACAGAAAACTTATTGCACAGACATTAACAAAATTTGGAACAACATAGGATCAATTTCATGTCAATGTCAACTGAAACATATGTCAATGATTGTATCCTATATACAACGACTTTCTTGTTTCGTCCTATTCAATAGTAATGCAATATCAAAGTAAAAACGGTTTGCACATGTTCACTGATCATGTAGACTTGCCTGTTTGATATAATGATATGGTACATCTAATTCAACTGGCACAATGATGAACGAACTGTACTTTCCTTCTTGTGCATCAAGCAACATAACATGACTAGAAAACAACACAATCACGTCTTAGAACATATACAGTTTTGGACAAGTTTTGGCAATCTGAAATACAAAGGCATTTTAAATACATAAATATACAGAGAATGAGATAATATTGATATACAAAAGTATGAATGGAAATTAGTAGCAATGGTTAATTTTGTGACGTAAAAAAAGATTTATCATTTCATTGATGTATGTTCAGACTTCTTGGCTACGACATCCAGATGTCATTTGGTCTTAGTAATGTTAAGATCGATTCTTGCTTTCACTGAATAAATGTATCGAATGGTCTCAAATATTAATATATGTAAATAAAATGGCTGTTATATACAACACGTTACTTGAGTTACACATCGGGAGGGATATAAACATATTTCAGATATGGAATTGAATGAACCATCAACATATGAAATGCTATCATGATATAATCATTTTTTTTCATGAGGATCAGACTGAATATCTTAACACTGAATAACAAAAGCCGGTAACAGTAGGGGTTTAACAAAACCATAGCTATAATACAAATGGCCATCATTCTCCGTTTAAAGCTGCACCCGTGTTGGGAACCGAATTCGGGTCAATATGCACAACGAGCGAATACATTGTCCACCAGGCCGTTTCACATTACGCGTAGCTGTTGCTTGAAGACATTATTATGGAATGTTTACGGTGTTGTGTTTGAATGGTTATTTATACTAATTGGAAGGTTTTCATGTTCCATGGAGCAGGAGTCACGGGTGGCCCAGTCATCTATAACGCTGGAATTTTCTGTGCAGAGGTGCACATCCCAGATTGTCAGCACTTTTTTCCTTGGTCATGGGTTTTAATACAATGGTAAACGTCTAAAACCTGCATCACTTCGAGCTTTCCTCACATATCAAGTTGGTGCGCTGTGATTTAACTGAAATACTGTCCAAAACGGCGTTAAAAGAAACTCACTACCACAGAGCAGTAAACCACCTCTCTGTCACGTGACTCAGTTTGCTGGAGTTTTAAGTCCAATTCCTCCGTGTTTATACCAATTTAAAAAAATTGTTATGAAGCAAATACTACTATATTGCAAATTCACCTGCTGATTTTATTCCTTATACAGTACACGTATGCACGTTCATACTTCAAAGACTTCTTAAAATCTGTTTTGAGTCGTTTTATGATAAAAGAAAACTAAAATCGATAATAAAACCATCATCTAAAGTGACATAAGATTCAAGTATCATCGAAAGTGGGGTAAAATATTATTGAATCCAATATACACTCTCATATTTGAAACATTTGAAATATAATAAAACAATTACAATTCATAGGTTAAAGAATCTTACAACACAACAAACAAAATAATGCCTTGTATCGATGATTCATGAGACAAAAATCCAAAATGGGATTGCGATGCTTATAATAATATCCATAAGAGGGACTACCATTTTATACTCGGGGGTGAGATGTTAGAGACATGGATGTTCTGTCGCTGCTGCAAAACACGCCTTTGATTTCTGGGAAAGGAGGAACAGTTTCATTCTTTTTCATATATATATATTTTTTTTAAGGGCAATAAAACACGAGGCCAAATTATATTTTCTGTTTTATAAAAAAAATCCCAGGCCGTCTCCACCCCCTCTCAAATGGTAGGTCGACTTTGTCCTTCAACTCAAAGAACCTTCACTTTTGTTTACTAAATATACATACAGAAATATCATTTGGTATGCTGCTCCTGTTGGCCTTTGAACTACACAAATGTCTCAGAAGACAGTTGACGATGAATCTTTTTCTATTTTCTATAAATATCAAACGAAAGAATTCAAAACAGCAGATATGAATGAATGTGATACGCATAGGTTGGTCAGTGAAAAATGCGAATGCCTTACAATACAGTAAACGACGAATCATTTTATTTTTTTCTATTTTCATCAAAAGTAAGAATTCCATTGTAAACATCAGATATAAATATATAAGCTAGCAGCATTGCCATCGTGCAGACTATTGCTTTGAAACACAATTCGTGTTCAGACAGGTCAACAGAGTGTTATTTACATGACATTAAGATGATACATTTCAGCACGACTGATATGTGTATGCAATGTATCAGACTATTTGGTCAACAGAGCATACAAAAACACGTCTCCCAGACGCAATAGGTGATGGTAGTGAGATCTAGGTTTATGATACGTTTCACCGTGACAGCACACTCTAGACTCCAGAAACACAGCTTTATTTGTACAAAGCATTATGCATTGCTATGAGACTTCATATCGTGATGGTACACCAATCTATTTCAACAACGAAAAACATTAATTATCAAACATAACATTGTAATCACCGTCTTGGAAAAGACTTATTGAAATAAATGTGGACACAAAGATCATGACATATATTTTGCAGCGTTGTGTAAACATGTGTATGGTCGCTTACATTCGGCGTTCCTTCTGGAACAGGAGGAGGGGGGCACGGGTGGCCCAGTCGTCTAAGGCGCCGCGATTCGCTGTGCAGAGTTGCGTCCCTTGGGCACGCCAGAAACCTATGATTGTGGGTTCGAATCCCGGTTCGCCCCGATTATGTTTCTAGGTTTATCAGCACCATACCCGTGCTCGTGGGTTTCACCGAAGTGGTAAACGTCTGAGACCTGCATCACTTCGGGCTTTCCTCCCACATTAAGCTGACACGCCGTGATATAACTGGAATACTGTTAAAAGCGGCGTTAAACCAACTCACTCACTCACTCTGGAACAGGACTTTCTTGTGAGACAGGATTCGACCGAGGCAAATGTTTACTTGGTGCAAGCATATTTGAACTTAAAACCTGATAAAGATGAGAATTATATTCGAAGTACAATCGGCAGGTATGTATTACCAATAAAGACGGAGGCCAAATTGTTGGGAATAATGAGACAAAGGAATAGATGACAGCAACAGTATTTTATCAAAAGACATAGAGGATACAAATGCAACTTTTAAGCAGTACCGATACGAAGACTCTCTGATGGCTTGTTATCTTCACATGAACTAATCCAGAATCAACAAGAAGCCATCAGTCTTGAGTGTTGTTGACACGAACTCATATTAGCGAAGTCGGTATCAACACGATATAAACATTGTATGTTCAATAATTCAGGGTTTTTGGTGAAGTTTAGTTTCAAGTGACGAGTGGACACTATACAAATACTGACATTTACAGGGGGGTACAATCACGTGGTCAGCAGGTTGTCGTGGAAACAAAAGTGTCAAGAACATATTTTCCCAGTTTTGATGATGGGATGCCAGTAGTCCGCAGAGCGATGTGGGTGTTCCATAATCTCATACCAGTGCTCAAGCTGCTCGCCGTGACTGTACCAGCCAAGGTCAACCTGAAAAGGTCAAGGTCGGAATATAACGGAAGAAGGCTCACAATGGATTGCTGTCACTGCGACGGAAGATGCGACAATAACAGTGTCCCACCTGGCTTCGTTCACAGTTGTCTGGAAGCTATGCATAGTTACACATCAAATCATATGAATATGTTGGTGTGTTTCTTGTTTAACGCCACACTCAGCAATATTCCAGCTATTTGACGGCGGTCTGTAAATAATCGAGTATGGACCAGACAATCCAGTGATTGACATCATGAGCATCGATCCACGCAATTGGGATTCGATGACATGCATCAACCAAGTCAGCGAGGCTGACCACCCGATCCCGTTAGTCGCCTCTTACGACAAGCATTATCGCCTTTAACGGCAATAATGGGTTGCTGAAGACCTATTCTACCCCGGATCTTCACGGGTCATATGAATATGTATGACTGTGAATGGATAATAATATTTCACAAGCAATCAAACATATTCAGTTTATTTTGAAATGCCTAAATTTGTCATTTGCTCATATTACTATTTCATTCAAAGACTTTACAAATTGCTTGCATTCCGGTGTCATATCCTCGAGGGAATACTTGATTGAAACATGATTTTCTGCAAATAGACAGAAATAATTTCGATCAATTCTCCGAGTGTCCATTCAATCACTATAACTCTGTAAAAAATCTTTATCCACAGTTATATATCAGGTCACAGCGGAAGAGCAAATACTCAATTTGGTTGTTACACGAAATCAATATTGTTGTCACAAACAGTATTATCTCACGTTCACTTTGATGTGTGGCCAAGGATATGATAATGAATAACTATCTTTGCAATTCAACGACCACGTCGGCTTACAACGCAAGCTCAAGTCAGCAGTTTTTTAACATGAAACATTTTGTGACGTTACCATTCGTTATTCAGGCCTACGGCAGCACGTCATCCACACACTTTACCGCTTACATATTGATTTTTCTGTCGTCAAAACCATCAGCCCATGCCACGAATCATGTCAAGCATGCTATTGCCAAGTCCTCAAACCAAACTTTATATTCCCAGGTACTTAATCTGTCAATATCGCATCAATAGTTCATCAAGCCATCGAAGAACACGTGTGTCACTTCTCTTGTAACCTACGTCATGCAACGTATCTTCTCTCAACCTCCAAGCTTGTAATCATACATTGATATAATCGCACAACTGCCCATTAAGGTTACTATAAATATAATATTTTCCTAGAAAATTTCATTTTCTCTTTCATCCTCCCTAACAGCTCTTAACGCGATAATATATAGTTATCTCCATCCTAATTATACCCAAACGTGAAATATTACTATAAAAGTCATTCATTCGCCCATAGGAAACCTGCACATAGGAAACATGTTTAGTTATATATTGTTCATGGTTATTATAATCTCAGCGTTGTGTAGCAAGTAGACCCTTGTCATCTACTTCATTCGTATCTCACTACAAAACTATAGTTACCGACAGCGTGTAATCACTGGATCTCGTCTCAGAACAAATCTAATATCCTCACATGAATATAACGGGAAAGGCTCTAATGGCCATAATTTGCTTAGTATATTCCATTGGCATGAAAAGGATCCACGGAGCCTTGCTTCATCCCTGAAATAGACTCAAGTTGACAAGTAAGGATTTTTAGTAGGGCTATGATTGCTTCTCAATCATTTGCGTAACGTGACGTTCGTTGGTTATGGCTAGCCTTTGCTTCAGCAAACAGTATCAATATGCGCGTTGACAAAACGTCAAATTTCCACGGAAAGTCATCTTGAAAAGAGCATTTCGCACGCCCGTAAGGGTTTCTTATCTCTTAATTGACTTAGGAATGAACAGTTTTGCGTCGAACTGATTGTGAATGAAGGGAATGAACCACGATGACTAGATGGTAATAACGCGGTGTTGAGATGTGATATGTTGTCATGCTCAGAGCTTGAGATTAGCGTTATGCGTTGCAGCAAGATGGGGAGATGACAGCTGGCCTTTGTAACGATTAATCTGTTCACAAGACATATTACCCACACTATCATCAAACACTGCTGCGAACAATTTGAATTAGTTTTGTTTCAAAATGTTTAATAAAGAAATATTAAAAAAATAGTTTTCATTGATTACAATTCATATTTAATTCAGTACTGAATTCTAAAAACAAACTTTTACATTCCTCAACATTTTTTCACAACACAACAATCTTTTTCTTTATCTTAGACAAAATTATTTTTTCCAAGTATATTGTATAGAAGATTATTTAAAAAAAATTCCAATCAAACTTGGTGTCTTTATATTCGAGACGAGTAAAGCAGGATAAATGGGACGTCAACAATGATGTGGTGTGACGTCATAACCATTGTGATGTCATTAAACGTCACAACATTATGTTATGGCATGATTTTTGTCTATAATGCTAACAGTATTGCACGTGCTTTTCGTATGGATTTATATTAAAAAAACGAGCTTAATTTGGCCCGTATAAATGATAAAAGGGTTTAGCTTTTTCTGGTTGGCTTTGACGTATTTTCTTCTCATAGATAAGGGTTCCATAGCTCTGTTGAATTAATCTATTTTTTACTGTGATCAGTCGTGATGGCAACAGTTTTTATGAAAGGAATACGCACCCTTTTATCCCAAATACTCTAAGTAACTAAATGCCAAGACATCATTCAAAAGCAGAATTAAGAACATATGACTGCCCTTTAAGGTAATTGTAAACTTCTAATGAATAAGTACCATTTAAATATTCCGCCATATTTAAGCCCACTCGACCAGAATGCACAATGTATAGTTAACGAAGTCAATAGAGACGTTACTTCAGCTTCATGACTGACATACAAGACGATAAAAGAACTGATTTATTAATCACTGTACGTCAGAGACCTGTGCATAGGCTTGTAATAGGCACGGTACCACCACGTGTACAATGTAGGTAGCAGGCTCGTGTATGTCAGACATTCACAAGATGGTTTAAATATAGCCTGGGCTCTGTTCGTAAAGGAAAACAGGCATTTAATTCATCTACTGAGACTACATCTGTGATAACTTAATCTATTTATACGTTATTTGTAAGAAGCGCGATCTCAGTAATGCATTAAACCTTTCCATCTGTCAAGTGTCTTATGTGGCCATATACAAATATGGAACTGTAAACCGTACACTTGTCAATAAATATGATCATATTTCCAAAAGTCCATTATTTCATTACACGCTGTCATTTCTCGTATAAATTCTATAAAATTTGGTCTCTACTGTCTCCTTTTGACATGGATTTAAAAACGGATAATGTTTTACGTCCATATCCATAATGGCGTCGTCATGCTTTAATTATGCAGCAATTGTTTCGTTATATGTGAATCCACCGAAGGTAATACATTACTAGACAAAAAGGCATAGATATCCGTCATACTTAATCATAACTCGATAGAGTAATGCTATATTAATGATCTCAGGGGTAGTTTTTACGTTGTTGTTTGAAGCCACACTCAGCAATATTCCAGCTACATGACGGAGGTCTGTAAATAATTGTGTCTGGACCACACAATCCAGAGCTTGACATCAAGAGCATCGATCTCCGCAATTAGGACACAAACATGCATTAGTCAACTCGATCCCGTTAGCCGCGTCTTACGTCTACCATGGGTTCCTGAAGATCAATTCATGGGTCCTCATGGGTCTTATGGCCATTCTTCCGCCCCCATTGTGTCGGGATTATATAATCAGAACATTTACCAACAGCATTTACGATGGAACACTACTAAGCCCCAGACATCTGTCAGTGAATATGATATCCAATATTCATGAATGCGATCTAAGTCCACGTCGTTACTAGAGATATATTTGATTTATGTTTACAGCAGAACCCTTAAAAGGTTTTAAAATAAGTAAAAATATTTCGATATCCGATATTCCTCAACTCACCTCTCCAACGTTACAATCAATAGTTCCTGCGACAAAGTTCTCTTCCACAACTCACCTCTCCAACCCTATAATCCTTATTTCCTGTGGCAAGGTACTCTTCCACAACTCCCCTGTCCAACCCTATAATCATTAGTTCCTGCGGCAAAGTTCTCTTCCACAACTCCCCTGTCCAACCCTATAATCATTAGTTCCTGCGGCAAAGTTCTCTTCCACAACTCACCTGTCAAACCCTATAATCATTAGTTCCTGTGGCTAGGTACTCTTCCACAACTCACCTGTCCAACCCTATAATCATTAGTGCCTGCGGAAAAGTTCTCTTCCACAACTCACCTGTCCAACCCTATAATCATTAGTGCCTGCGGAAAAGTTTTCTTCCACGACTCACCTGTCCAATCCTATAATCAATATTTCCCGCGGCAAGGTACTCTTCCACAACCACCTGTCCAACCCTATAACCAATAGTTCCTGCGGAACTGCGCTCTTCCATACCTTACTTGGTTAATCCCAAATCAACAGTTTTTGCGGAACAGTTCTCTTCTATATCTCACCTGGCCTATCCCTTAATTAATAGTTACCGCCAATATCTTTCATAACTCACCTGGTCAATCACACAATCAATAGTTCCTGCGGAATAGTTATATTCTTTATCTCACCTGGTCAATCTCATAACCCATTTTTCATGAAGCTATCTTATTACCAAAAGTTACAGAAATTATCTTTCATAGCTCACCTGGTCAGTCCTATAATCAATAGTTCCTGCGGAAAAGTTATATTCCATATCTCACCTGGTCAGTATTTTAATCACTAGTTACTGCAATTATCTTTCATATCTCACCTGGTCAATCCCACAATCAATAGTTCCTGTAATTATTTTTTATGTCTCACCTGGCCTATCTTGTGCACACCGGTCATCATATCTTTGTGCAGCACGTGGAAAACGAACACGTGACCAAGCAGTTTGGGGTTTTCCCTGTTGATCTCAAACACACACTGGTGGTGCCATACCGGGTCTTGAGTATTTTGTCTGACTTTAGTTTTGTGTTTCCCCTCTCTGATTCCGTTGACGTACATCTCAACCTTCACGTACGGGTCTGAAAGTGAAGAAGGCTTAGGTGAGTTTTGCCGCTGTCAGAAATACTTTATCACAAGGGGCCATGGACCGGATCAGTCTCTATTTTGTCATAATAACGTGTCACATTAGCTTAAACAAGCAAACAAACAATATACAAGAAAACAACAAACATTGCTGAACTTCCAAAAACATCATAGAGTAGCGATTTTTTACTGGAAGTTATATGACAGTCAAAAACTATCCTTTCCTTCCAAAAACGAACATATATACATTTGTGTCGAATCACTTTTAATGGTTTCTGTATGATCTAAAGATGGAAGCAAACTCGGATATACCGAAGTGAGCCCAGGAGATATTCTTTGGTTAAGGTGAGGCATTTTACGACAATCTTTGTTGCCTACACCACATGATGCAATTGTTACGTGACGTCATACCTCAGTATGAGTAAATTCAGGGAAATAAGTATATGGGCACGTTTTCATTAAAAACTAAGCCATATGCACACTATTATTGAGAAATTATGACGTTTTAGCCCCAACATGTTTTTAACCCACTTTGAAAAGGTAGGTAGCATTTAGGATAATTTTCTACAAAACAAAACCTATGATTGTAGATTGGAATCCCGGTTCGACCCGGTTATGTTTCTAGGTTTGTCAGCATCATACTGAATGGGATTTCACCGAAGTCGTGAACGTCTGGGACCTGTATCAGTTCGAGCGTTCCTTCCACATTAAGCTGACACGCCGTCATATAACTGGAAACTGTTAAAATCGGCGTTCAACCCAACTAACTTATTTTAAGCAAAACTGTTAACACGATGGGTGTTTGCCCATATTCCACGACATTAAAGTGTGGATATGGAGCTTTTTATTAACAAGACAATACAAGGCATATTAACCCGATGTTATTTATATTAGGACAATCAGAATCAATAACAAATATTTTGGAAATACCCATCTTAGAAAAAGTTATATACTCTACGTCACAATAAAGTATTATTATATCGAGATTCCGCTTGTCTCGAAGATGGGTTACCACCATGACTTTAACAGGTCTCTCTATGTATAAAAAAATAGGTTATTTCACAAGAATGTTGGGCAACTCTGTAACATCAAAAGACTCAACTATGTAATCAGCGACACCATTAATGTTCTCACAGCATCTAGAACATCCCAATCTTTACGTTACATCTCTAAAATTACCAAAAAATCGACAACCATCACTTCAAACAAAATTACGCAAAATTACACCTTAAACATACCCCTGCTTAGGAATGGGATTACTATAGACGTAAAAAGAATAGGCCGTGGGCGTGTTTGTTTCGGATCTGCGAGACTCACTTATTGCTCCGAGCAGCGACACACGAGGAAGGTTCCGTCCTTCCAAGACACTGAAGACAATCTTGCCCGCAACTGGCTGAAAACAACCGGATATCCGCAGATCCCCTTGGTGAAGCTGAAAATATAACCCACAATTTCAGATGTTGTTCATGGAAAGGCTTAGTTACATTAGCAAGTAGAGAGGCTTGGAACGAGGGGATTGAAATTGCTTGAGGCACTTTGTACTGCTTTGCGACAAAACAGGATGTCAAAAAACCCAACTTGTCATCAACGTCTTTGTGCATTGTCAGTGTCACATGGATGTTTTGAGTGCGCAGTTTTGAGAAGAGAATTTTTATCCTTTTTGTCTGGTTACTGTAGCCGTTGGATTTATTCAACAGCGAACTATCTTCTTTGGCGTAAGGTTTAGAGATCAACTTGCGGTATGACGTTGACGTACATGCAGCTGTAATTGTTTAAAAAAAATAAAATGTATCAGAACAGGCGACGAAGAGTCGAAAAAAGTCTTTCTCTTTATGTAATTTAAATGTGACGTGTGGACAATTTATTCATGCTGATCAATAACGTGTGCTCTTGTTCTGTACAGCTTCCGTGTTTGATAATATTTTCAGTTGAGATCAAGATTGTCCGGCTTTTATCGGACGAATTATCTTTCCTTTCCTAAACTATGCCAATATGGTTGTCAACGAGTTTGGATTTGTTTTTTCATTTACTGACAAATTAATGAAAATACGTCCTGCTGTCATTTTCAAAATAGCGCATGATGATTGGCATTTTTCGGTCGTGACCAAAATGCACGCAGTTGAGATGTATGGCTGATACACATCGGTATATGGTCTCTGTTGGAACTATTTAACCTCTCTACAAACAATTGCATTGTCATTTCAGGGTCAGCGTGATACAGGATGTCATTTCAGGGTCAGCGTGATGCAGGATGAAGTGATGTTGTGATGCACGTCGTACGCACTTATCCAAAGAGCGCGGGTAGAGAGCTGACTGACCAAGGTGAACATGGATTTGAACCCCGACCAGCCTATTGCTTCACCTAGACCACTGCGCCACCATGTCCCACACCCACCCTGCATTTTAGTGTCATTGCAGAAATGTGTGATAGTATCATTTTTTCTGACATCTGTTTTTAACATTTTTTATGTCGAGATCAGAAATCATATTCCTTGTTTCACTAGTTCTCGTATAAATTGGATACGACACTCTAAAATCTAAAAAAGTTATGTGTCCAATATAACTACAACACTATTTATTATTTATAGCTATACTACAATGTAAATCATGAAATATATATCTATCCCCAATGCCATCTGAAACCAGACGGTTGCAATTCCAATGAAGCTATCCCTACAGCATCGCTCCACAACCGACTACCTGCAGACCGGAAATCGGCACATCATGAGCAATATCCCCGGAGACTGACTAAGCGGGGCTATATTGACTAGCCGGGAAGAACAGCTTAGATTGGACAGATAACTAACAGTTACGGCTGGGCCAAACAGCTGTTGAACCGATCGGCGTACTCCTGTCAGAAGCTTGTTCTCAAGCCTCTCCAAGAGCGCCGGAACGATAAACACAACACTTTGTGGGACTTAGCACTGCGACTACGCGACTGGGGCTGACATTGATTACTGGCTGTCATTAAGTCTTAGCTAAGTGTGAAATACACCAGACAGAACGGGCTATTTACGCCGAGCGACATTGCTTACAGATTACGGTTGATGCCATTTACTTACATTTATACCACAGTGTTGTGTCAGTGTGCCACATTGTTATAATTGAAAAAATACTTAAAGGGTTGTTGAGAATATTTATCAGGGTTAGATTCTGAACGTTGTATGGGGTGTTGTACGTGCTGCAGTTGAAGGAGAAAGGGGCTTATAAATCCAATTTGAGCAAAACTAACAGCATTAGGAACTTGTACACTGACTGGCGAACAGGCACTTTAAGATTTACAAAATGATGATTTAGTGTTAAAGATGTTCAAGACGCCACCTGCACCACTTCGGGTTTTCTCCCAATTGAGCATCCACGCCGTGATGGTTACCTGAACTATTATTCAAACCCCATCTAATTGATACCCAATAAATGCGTTTGAAAGAGCGTATGTTTGAATCATATTCTTGTTCTAACTCAAATCTCCAGCAATAAGAGAGCTGCCAAATGTTATATTTGGGATAACACTTTCTTAGTAAAGTACAGACTCTAGTCGCTGAGTGGGTTAGATCGCTGACTTTGTGTGCTGGCGAATAGGAGCGTCACTCTGGGAGTTTGGGTTGGAATCCCGGATGGGAATCCACCCCAAAAAGTACTAGAATCTGTACTTTACTAAGAAAGTGTTATCACAAAACATAACATTTGTTACATTTGACCAATTTCGTAATGGCACTGTGTATTTATAAGAGAAATGTTCCAAAATCCAATGTAGGATAAACAAGTTTGGAGACATATCCCAGAACACTTAACAAACTGAATTTAGAAGATGTTGACATCCTCAAAGAGATTCTTTTCTCAAGCGAATCCTACTTTACAATGATTTATTAGTTGAGACTCCTAGTGCGTCAAGTTCACTGTTTTTTTCCCAATCTACGGCGGAGGTACATTTCAATTTTACAGAGCTAAAATATGACAATTAGAGCTGTTAATCATTCACATGAACAGTAAATGCCATTAACAGATGAATGTTTCCATATAAAGTAATCCTTTAAAATAGTTTTTTTTATTCATTTTCCGACGAACTATATTTGTTTACATACTCATATTATAACCTTTCCATGGCAACTGTTATTTGACTACCTTATCAATGTATCTTGTGCTGAGAGAGAGAGAGAGAGAGAGAGAGAGAGAGAGAGAGAGAGAGAGAGAGAGAGAGAGACACGCGTAAATGCCGAGTTTATTTGATATGTCTTCATAAGTTGTCTTTGGAATTATTCTCTATTCACACGTTACCAATAAGTCTGTCACCTATCACTTATCAAGACAATACTAATTCTGCTTCAATATAAAAGGCGGCTTCAATTCCCTGAAATTGCAGAATTTCTGTCTGAGCCTTGACTCCTGATAACATCAGTACAGTTACAAGGCATATGCCATCCAACATCTTGCTATGGACATAAAGTAAATAAAAGCGATAAAAACATTTCGATAATAATTAAACGGTATGGTTAAATTGACCCAATTTTCCTGTTTTATAGGTTGCAAATAACACCAGTCAGATAAAAATAGCAAAGTATCGCGGGAAAATGAAGGTTTCTTTAAAAAATACCACACTCCTGAGTAATAGTTTTCGTGTGGTAAAAATTGCGACGCTTTCAAATTAGTTAGAAGCCTCAAGCTAAAGCCTTTGCTGAGACACTTTTCTGAATTGATAAGAAGCGATAATTTCCCTCGAGAGGGGCTTTACTTCGATATGTTTTGCTTTAATTCAGAACTTGGTCGCCATTTCGTAATGTAAATTCAAGAGTTATCGTTTGACCTTGCCGACAGCATAATCACAAATGGATTAAATGGACATATGTTTTGGATGTTTTCATTCTGGACATATCCTAACAACTGTAGGCCAAGCTAGGCACCCTGGTGTGTGTCGGATACCTATATTACCTTATTCATTTTGGTTCTACTCTTCCAAGAGGAAAATTCAAAGGCGTTTTTTCTGAGAGCGAAAGGACAGTGAATTGAAGCATAGTTACACTGATAACGATAGGCAACACGCAGAATCCCAGAATCCCAGAATCCCAGGGAAATTACCAAAGAAAGGACCACATGTTTAATAACTCTAACTGTTTGTTCAACAGTACCTTTCTTCTTGCTCAGGGGCGGTCGGGTAGCCTACTAGGTAAAGCGTTCGCTCGTCACGCCGAAAACCCGGGTTCGATTCCCGACATGGGTACAATGTTTGAAGCCCATTTCTGGTGTCCCCCGCCGTGATATTACTGGAATATTGCTAAAAACGGCGTAAAACCATACTCACTCACTCACTCCTCTTGCTCAAAGGTTGTTTGATCCAGGTTACAACACTCAAGGCCTCAATGAAGCTTTCAAAAGGTTTTATGGTAGACATGTGGAGGACATTTCCAAATTTGTCGCATCAGTGACAAAAGTGGTGTCTGATGCAATTCCCTTGTTTGGCTAATACCATATGTTCCGGTGTTTAGGTAAACAACCCTCTTGCTTTTGTTTTTGTTTTTGACGGGTGTCACCAGTGGGGCAGGATATGATCACTTTTTCGCGAACACCTGGTGTCATTATTATTTGATGGTGAATCGTGGACGCATGCTCATGAAACAGTCTGAATTGTATAATCAACTCTGCTTTAGGCAGATATTTCTCACAAATTTTTGGTTTTATTCAAATAATGTAAATGTGTATTTTCAAGATGGATGGGGTATTATTTGCATTAGTGATTTCTTGTATGTTCTCCCCTTTCAAAGATTTTTACCTTCAACAAATCAATCATCGTCCAACAGATAGAAAACCTCTGTCCAAGTATTGAAATTACGATAACTATTGAATGCTTTGAAGAACGGACCCTCTTACGGTTTGATAATATTTTGAGATACATAATTCGGAGATATATTGCATCAGTCGGTGATACAAAAGTAGTTCCGAAACTTATAATGGGGATAAAGATATTTTAAATTCCTAAAACGTATCGCAAGCTGAATGCTCATTCATAGGTGATGTAAAGCCATTTCCAAATATGGAAATGAAGATAAATATTGTAAAAATTACAGAACGAAATTGCCTCTATGATCACTGCATATAGTTTCTCCACATAACTGAGATCATCCGCTGATGCGCGGAGGGACCATGTACTGCCCTTAACGACGCGGTAATGCATTCTGTCTAGACAATACTAGTAACTGTATAATAACAACGATATGTAGAATCTAAATGTAAAGAGTAATGGTTAGCGGGCCATGTCTGGGCCCTGATGTCACATTCGATGCCTTAATTCATGAGAGACATCCATTATACCTGTTAACCTATACACTCTCGAATATCGACGTTAGAAAGTTTAAACGCCCTGAGATAGAGGTATGTGATATCAATAAGTTAGCCAGATTAGAGATTTATCATCTCGTTATATAAACTGTCTGGGCTATATGTCAGACAGAATGACATAATGTGTATGTTATCGTTTTGATGAAGAACAATATTCATCATATAATCCAGACATTTGGAGAAATTTGTCAGGTCTATCATGCGATGTAACGTAATGTATCTGAATGGAATGTTGTCTACGTTAGATTGTTTCATCTGTTGTGTGATGGATGCAATCAAGTTCACAGAGAGCTTCACGGTTCTATTTCCTTTTCACGGCACCCATGGGGACTCCGGTTTAGAACAGGTCCTAGGAACTGCATGTATGCTTGTCGTAAGATGTGAGTATATGGATCTGGTGGTCAGGTTCGGTGGATGACTATATCACTGTTTTCGGATTAACGTGTGACGTTTCTATGCATCTATGGGTATGACCAACCCTGACCGACGCGAATATTTTAGCGGAACTTCTTTTGACTGCGGCATTTAATAACAAACAACCAATTATTCAACCCTTCCACAGAACAGAGTCAACACTTCCTTGCAACTGAGTCATGTTTTAGAGAAGATATAGAAGTTATACAAATAGATAGTAATAGTCAAAGCATGAGACTAACCAGACTAGATTATCCGCCGAAACAGATTCCATTTGACGTAAAAGGGAAAAGAGCTGACAAAATTATATGCATTGACCACTGTTCGCGAAAATGTTAAGCAAAAGGCATGGGACAAGAATATATGTAATGACGCCAGATGTGACAATATGTACTCAAATGCTGCTAAACATATTCATGTACTCCACTTAACAAGAGACCTGGTGGTGCAGAACATGCAGCACACCCTGCCGAACACACCGCAATGTTACATTCTTTGGTACGTGGGTTTAGCAATATCCAACAATTGCATGGTTGGGGACTCCAGAAGTAGGCTTCACACATTGTACCCATGTGGGGAATGGAACACGGATCTTCGGCGTGACGAGCGAACACTTTAACCACTAGGCTACCCCGCCACTATCCTGCTCAAAGCATACTCTTTATTTTCATAACACCAGGTGTTAAAATATAGGTTCCACCTTCTGTTTCAGGTCATCCAGCATGTCAAGCAACAAAATATCATCATCATCATCATCATCATTATTATAATTATAATTATTATTATTATTATTATTATTATTATATCGACACCTTGTGTCATCACTGATTTTCAGTGGTTCATTTATATAATTGCCAATTTTGCCCTTTTCGAAAATTGGAATCTGTTTCTGCAAAAATTATTCTCTTGCATTGACAATATATTTTTAAACCTCAGGCAATGTTATTTGATATCACATGGACGGTCTATTAGCATAGATATGCCACTGAGCAGATTACTTTGGTTTGTCGTGCTGAACAAGTTGTTGATAACGACCCTGTGAACAGCTTTAACTCGTGCGAAAATTATACGAATTGACCAATGAGAAAAGTTATGACACCAGGGCCCACTTGCACGAAGCGATCTTAGCGCTACAACTATTGTAAGCCTATCTTAAAGTATGGGAGTAACGATCATCTTAGCGCTAAGATCGCTTTGTGCAAGTGGGCCCAGGTGTTCGCGAAAGGTTTAAGCATGTCCTGCCCTACTCGTGTATGCTTTAATGGACATCAACGAAGTTATGTGAATGACTGGACCATGATGATCGGTAATTTGATGAAAGCAAATAAATGTAAGACTTGATATTATCAACAACGATAGCAGGACACGTTTAGGTAGTCCACTATCACATTTTACATTATCGGAACTTATTTGCATAACTGAAGTAGTGTGATTCAATAAGCTGAGACATAGACAAGCTTAACAAGAGTGTCTACCATCTACGACGTAGTTGTCTGGTGCTAGATGACCTGGCATTTTGATCTGGATCCATAGTTCACAAATAACTGTATCATAATTACCGGGTAATTTTAGATGTCTGGCGCTTAATGGCCGGTGATGTAATCGTATATAACACGAATGCAACACAATGGCAAGGTCCGATGTAAAATTGCAGTACCCTTATGGTATGGTATGGTATACCATTATGATATAGTGTGGTATGACATGATAATAGTGAATGGTATAACATGATATTGTATGGTATAATCGCATTATGTTATTGTATTATAATCCATCATAATATCGTACATGTCATTAAGATATTGTACGGTATGTCATAATGATATCGTATAAAATGTTTTTAGGATATTGCGTGAAATGCTGTTATGGTATGTCATGATATTGTGTGGTATGCCATTGTGATATTGTGTGGTATGTCATTGTGATATTGTATGGCAAGCTATATTATTGAATAATGTTCCATAACAGTATTGTATGGTATAGCATATTATATTGTATTTTGTTGATGTGTATGCTTGTAAGTAGTATGGTGTATGCGGTGGCATAATCGTATTGCATGGAATGACAGTGTGGTATAGCGTGAGATGTTGCTGATATATTGTATGGTCAATATAGAAATGTTCATACCACAGTGAACACATGGATGTGATATGAGGATACAAATAATGCGCACAGTTGTCTACTGCGCAGGATTTCAATGAGCTGAGAATGATGTGATCGTTGGTTCTAATATCAGACTCGCACCGATTATGATTCTCGGTTTGTCAGCACGATACCCACACCTTTCCACAAAAATTATAATAAAACAGACTCATTAACTCAATTACAGCTGACTTACCCTGTAAACTGTTTGTGGCATGAGGGTCAAGTCAACCAGACCACTGGTCAGTTTCTCAACATCCGTCAGTTTGACTGACCCTACTCCCACCAGGTGGCGCCGCGACACGTGATGTGAGGAGTACACTTGGAACTCCAGAGCAGATTCTTCGTTGATTTCCGTTGGCACGAGGTCTTTGATGGTAAACTTTTCCAAAAACAGTGGATCCTAGAAAAGTTATGATACTTCCAATAAATCCACAGTAGTTATTAAACATACATTATGAAACATATATCAGTGTTACAAAACATACAAATGTTATGTTTCCAAATACTATAACGTGTAATATATATCATCTTGTTTCCATCAAAAGGCATTTCAAAATTTAACAATTTCTTGTCATTTTGGGGTTCAACAAAATGGAAGTCTACACCAACTATTTATTGTAAATGGAGTAACTAGTTGCGAGTGAAGGGCAAGGTCACGTGATCTCAGAAACAAGTCATGGACCTAATGTTTCTTATAATTTGAGTCTGACGACACTTCAAGTTTGTAAGAACGTTGTAGCACCAAAGTTCCATTGATGTTTATGTACTAGATTTAACAGACTAATTGGTAACGTGTAAATAGAGAATAATTCCAAAGACAACTTATGAAGACATATCAAATAAACTCGGCATTTCCGCGTCTCTCTCTCTCTCTCTCGTTCTCTCACACGCACGCTCGCTCGCTCACTCTCTCACGCACGCACGCACTCTCGCTCGCTCACTCTCTCACTCACTCACTCTCACTCTCACGCACATGCCCATACACGTGCAATAATCTTGAACAAGACGTTAAATCCCATTTCATCTCAATACAACCTGGAAACGTTTTGCTGGTACGAGCAGCCAAACACATATTCATGCACGTCGCTATACGCGAAAACTCTTGAACGTGACGTTAAACTACATTTCACCTCACCTCACCTCAATAACAACCACTCTAAGAGTTCCAAATAGATGGTACCTGTTGACTACAACAGAGCATACATTATCATGACTTCAGGCTGGGGCATTTACGCTGGTAGAGGCCTCTCGGCTGGCTCCTATCAAATTTAACGTAATGTATAGTTAACGGTGCAATACAGTTTAGCAGCGTGTTGAGTTTCAGACCCGAAACCACTCGAGCTAGCAGGTCATTGCGTTCCTGAAAAATGACCTTACCATTAAAACACATCACTAGGGACAACGTAGAATAGGATTGCTCAGTGTCGGCAGACTAACTGATGGCCAAATCAATACTTCTAGAAGAATACGGTACATAAAAGCTGAAAATCATTTGTTCAATCCCTACCGTTGTCTTAGTGAGCGTCTTGGTTCTGTATTTGAACGTCCTCCCAGGTACCAAGAAGGCTTTGACATAAGGGTTGACATCGATATCCTTTGGTACTCCAGGAATCACAAGACTCTGAGCCTGAAATCAACAACATATTTGCAATCGTTGCCAGATGTTCACGTCGTTATTTCATAAGGGGGGCTGTGAAATGAACGTGGAAACTAATGGTTGAAGATGGTAAACGTGTCATGAGGTAATGCAGGTGGATTTGTGTTGCGAATCATGGGTCTGAAATTGTTTGGAATCGCGGTCAAATTATAACAGTAACATGTGAAGAAAGCTATGAATTGAAATATATAAACGGTAGCTGATATTTGAAATTGACGTATGTCAAAAAGAACATGAAGTGCATTTATATAAGTGTATATGGATCTTGTTTTAGATTAATCGCACTTCCTTTATTAAAGTGCCTTCATTAAAGGACAGTGAACACAAACAATCTCACAATTGCTTTTTTTAGATATTTGTCTACTTTTTATTACTTGAGATTTCACGTTATTAACTATTATAACAAAAGCTAGGCAATGTTCAGTGAGATAATACGAGATGTTACAGAATAAATCCACTACTAACACAATATATCATTAAATTCAAGCCTTGTGGTTCAAAACAATCTCCTTGGCTTCAGACTAATAATTACAGAGTATGAAAAGTTAGCATCTTACTTTATGTTGACAACGTACTAAGATTAGAAACCAGTAGTCATTACATATCTGAGAGATCAAAGTGTTTCCATGACAACCACGACTGACATCTAAAGGATTGTATATTTCCCTCAAATCAGAACTCGACCAAGATCAAAGTTGCCATTCCTTTCTCCTGTCGTTCTTTCCTTTAATCACTGTCATCAAGGTAACCGTTTTTTACAAAAGGCAAACGTATTATTCGTGATTGATGGTTGGATTAACACGCTCAGGCTTAAAATTCGCTATCTTTCCAGTCTATTATGTGATATGCATCACGTTGTTGAAGAACCGGAGGGATAATTATTTATGTCTTATTATCCAGCATTAATCTTGTTAAAAAGGGAATCTCATTATTACAATAGTATAATATCCATAAAATATGAAGTTGACTGAAAAATATTGCTGAATCAATGTGTTATTGAAATCCATGCAAAAGAATAACATACAGATGCATGTTTAAAAAATAGCGAAAAAGCCATTTCCGTAATCAAAAGAAATATCCGCTGTCCATTTCACAGTGCCTGTTATATCATAAGCTTGTGTTTAAAACCTGTTTAATTCAATCTCAGTTGATTTAATACGATTGACGAAATTCTATCTTATCAATACAGGTGTGTATATCACGTCGATCATAAAAATAAGATCCAATGAGAATGACAATGACAAACCTTGTTTTAATTTCATCTCATCTACAGACATTACTAAAATACATATTTTTTGTTTTTCTCCATATATATGTACGTATTTTGACGAAGAGAGTTTAAACCAATACTAAAAAGTATTTGCCACTCTGCCAAGTCGATTGCAGATTTCGACTATATCCTGTGTTTATGAACCACTATCAAATAGTGATGATACCAGGTGTTCGCGAAATGATGAGCGGATCCTGCGCCACTGGTGGCACCTGTCTCAAACACATGCAAAGGCAAGACAATTGTTCTGAAAAAATAGGGAACTGCATCGGATATCACTTTTGTCAGTGATGCGTCAAATTTGGAAGTGCCCTCCCCAGAACATTTTGTTGAAAGCTTTGCTGAGACCTTGAATGTTGTAACCTTGATCAAACAACCATTGAGCAGAAGTCGTATATTATTGACGAGTCTGAAACACATTCCGGGGAAGGTACAAATACAGCACTCCTGCCAACCCAAAATAACTCAGATGACCCGACACCAAAACGAAATTTTCTTGTAAACAAAATTAAATGTTATTCAACGCCACGCCACCGACAAGGCATCTTGTGACAAGCACTACTAAGAGCAGAGATGATACACGGGATTCAACGCTATGAGCCTAATGGAGAACGGGTCATTTAACACTCATTTGAGCTTGGTTGAGGACTCAATATAGACTAGAAAATTGCGATGCCGCGGGTTCTTAAGGGAACCTTCGGAAAATGACATTGATGATATTTGACTGAGGATCGTCGACAGGAAAGCAGTATTCAGCGACAGAAGCGTAAGGAAGTAAGCGATTCCGCGTCAAATTGAGATAAATGACTCTTGGCACTTGAAATCATTATCTTCTATTATGCGAAGTCCCCTAGATTTAAAGCCAACAGGTCTGGCATACTTGAAGGGGAAAGGTGTATATTAGAGTATTCAACGACGCCCTAGAAAGCAGAGTGCTTGAGATCTTGAATAATATCCCACATAATAGCTCAATGCGTGAAGATGAACTTATTAGCACTGAAAGGTATGTTGAACAGATCCCCACCGAGTGACGTTTTTGTACCGTAACTGGCCAAAAGTATAAGAAATGAACACTTTGAGTGGTAATATTTGTGGTCGGCTCCACTACAGAATAAAAGAAAATTGCCTCTGTTCTTACTAACAATTTCCTCTTCTGTACCATGCTTCCCCTGCCAACCAAGCTGAAGGCACTTAGCATATTCTCGAATCAAAGTTTCCTTTGATATTGGTCCTAAGGCATAAACAGTTGTGGCATATAATTGGCTTTCTAATTGCAGGAACATGTAAATGCCATGGTATGAAAAACAAACTCGAGCAGAACTTTGTAAATTAAAACCCGTTGACGCGGGCACACAGTTCCCAGTGGAACAGTTCTGTTTAACAAATGCCGTGATTAGCGAACCTCAGCTACGTACGTCGAGATGTCGCTTCAATAATGGATACCCCTTATTTTTTAATTGCCCGGGTGGAGGGGGTTCTAGACTAACCCGTGGAAACATGACTCGTCTTCCAAGCTATGACTAATTGAAGAAAGTCTTGGGTAGGTATTTAAGAGTTTGAAGACCATGAAGACATGGAACACTTTGTGGATAACAACTTCTGTATAGGTTCTATGTTTCAGGGGTATGTCTTGAATACTGATTGACCCGATGAAGGGGAAATATAAAACGTCAATGCAATGCAAGAGAATAAAGGGCAAAATAGGTGTGAAAATTATATAAATGGACCACTGAAAACCACTGATGACACCAGGTGGCTCTTAACAGTGGAAACATGCAGAACGAAGGAGGTACGTGGGTTAACGTGTAGGGACTTCATGCACCCATAGCATGAGGTACCTGTCTCGTAGGTCTTTGTATGACCTAATGAGGCGTTGTTTTTACGGTGGATGAGTTGAACGAGATATTGTCCGTATGTATGAGGACGTTTATTATACACAACTGACTGTAATCATGCTCTTCACTGTGCAGCACAAAACTCAAATTGAATCTCATTTTCTTAAAAACGTAGAGTGAATTCGTGTTTTAGTGCCCTGAAGATGGATGCTTTTAATGTCAACTTAATTTACTTATATAACAATTTAACACATTCAAAATGATAAAAATGTTCGATCATTGCTCAATCTTTTGAAGCCATATATGACCATAATTATTATCAATTTTCAGTCATAATTACATTGACACGATCACAGTAATTTTAGTCTTAGTATAGTGTATGTATCCATCTGGGTGAACAGTCGACACTTAAAGGAAGACTAGATTTAGACAACTTCGCAGTCCCAGCAACTTTGATTAAATTAGTATAAAAAACCCACATAATCTGCCAACTCAAATGTTAGAATGTAGATCAATCTAGCTATTCATGATCATCCTTAACACACAGTGAGTGAGTTGGGTTTAACGCCGCTTTTAAACAATATTCCAGTTATATCGCGGCGTGTCAGCTTAATGTGGGAGGAAGGCCCAAAGTGATGCAGGTCTCAGACGTTTACCACTTCGGTGAAACCCACGAGCACGGGTATGGTGCTGACAAACCTAGAAACATAATCGGGGCGAACCGGGATTCGAACCCGCAATCATAGGTTTCTGGTGTGCCCAAGGGACGCAACTCTGCACAGAGAATCGGGGTGCCCTAGACGATTGGGCCACCCGTGCCCCCCCCCCCCCCCCTTAAAACACAGACACACACACAGTTTAGCTATAGAAATGACAGGAAATGGGCTTTGAACAGCGGAGCGTCGTGCCCCTTCAACACGTATGGAGGTTTCTCTGTGAACAGTGACTCGTACCTCGACTATGATGACTGTAAGTGTGGTGTTGTCATGGGAGAACTGTAGCTGCACCTTCAGATTACCAGTCGGCTGTACGGGCGGGGCGTACCTCGGGATCATCTCCTCCAGGTTCAGGTCATGCAGGGCAACAGGAGTGTCTGGCAGACCTATACTGCCCTGACGCTGTAATAAATATAAAGTGATACTTTAGACATGTTATAAAGGGCAACAGAGTGTCTGGCAGACCTATACTGCCCTGACGCTGTAATATATATAAAGTGATACTTTAGACATGTTGTAAAGGGCAACCGTGTCTGGTAGACATCGTCTGCCCTGACGCTGTAATATATATAAAGTGAGACTTTAGACATGTAGTAAAGGAAAGCATATACGGCCCTGAAGATGTAATATATATAAAGTGAGACTTTAGACATGTAGTAAAGGAAAGCATATACGGCCCTGAAGATGTAATATATATAAAGTGAGACTTTAGACATGTTGTAAAAGAAAGCATAAACGGCCCTGAAGATGTAATATATATAAAGTGAGACTTTAGACATGTAGTAAAGGAAAGCATATTCGGCCCTGAAGATGTAATATATTTAAAGTGAGACTTTAGACATGTTGTAAAAGAAAGCATAAACGGCCCTGAAGATGTAATATATATAAAGTGAGACCTTAGACATGTAGTAAAGGAAAGTATATACGGCCCTGAAGATGTAATATATATAAAGTGAGACTGTAGACATGTTGTAAAGGAAAGCATATACGACCCTGAAGATGTAATATATATAAAGTGAGACTTTAGACATTTTGTACAGGGGAACAGGGATGTCTGACTGCCCATAGTTCTTTTCAGAAAGGGTACAGTTCTTTCCAACACAGAACATACATGATTAGACTTGGATACATTCATGTATTGAAGGCAAAACTATGACATGCACACTGTAGAACTTACGCCTAACCTGTCTACTGTAGCCTCATTGATAACGAAGTACCAATGACATTTCATATTCATATTGATAGTTACTCCCTTCTATCAACCAACACGAAAGTAAACAGCTGTCAAGTGTGCCTGATGACATGGCACTCGCCAAATATGTTATCATTTGTAAATTACTTAAAAGGGGACTATTTCCTGAAATGGTTTCTGTGACCAAATATACAGTGACATTGACCTTCACTCACGACTTATACTTATTCTGGTCAAACAAATAATTTGGATGTGGCGTAGGAATGTGTTCTTTTCTCCCCACTAATTCTAGACAGGCTCAACACTTGCTAAGGTCCAGGAATTATCGACAGACGTCATGATGAATATATTCTGCAGAGTATCAGCTTTTGTCATAATGATGGCAGTCAGGTGGCAGCATCAGCTCTCGTTATCTCGGAGATATTGAACGTTTGTGTCATCCCTAATACCTTCAACCAAGACATCAAAAGTGATGGTTCCAAGAAATCAAAACAAATTAGTGAAGATTGTGTTCAGAGGAATTTGCGTCTTGAAAGGTCATGGCTTCCCATCTTATGTTGTATTTTGGCCTCTCAAGCATATGGACGAGGGGGTATTTGCATTAAACCACATCCACAGACACTGTTGAAACCGTAACAGAATTTCTTTCCTAATCCCAACTCGTTGTCTGATGTCCAGGCGTCAGCTGCTCCGTACACCCAGGCAATGTTCAATATCAGTGTCGATATTGTACAGAATATTGGTTCTGCCATAAATCCCCCATAAACATCGTTGCTGCATTCTGTATTTACATTCCATTTGCGGACGGAGATTTAGTTTTATTTCCCATGCTACAACGATAGTAACCTGATGGATTATTAAAGTCGGGTAGTGAACTGCACGACAACTAATGTCGTTAATTGGAATTCTTCATGCAGCCTCATGCAGTCATTTCACAAATTTGCCGTGCCATGGCACACGGTGAAAAGCCATATTCAGCATCTCACAACCCTTTAATAATCGCAGATCGTGATTAATCCTTGAATTGATAAGCAAAAGCAAACTGATGCAAGGTCCATCTTGTGGTATGCCAACAGACCTTCTTTATAGAACTACTCAGAACACAATCTTATTGGCAATCTCACGCGGCTAAATGAGAAAAAAGCCAACCCCATTTACGGCAATACAATGGCAGCGTGGCAGCCGACGTGAAGCTTCATCAACATAACGTGTTTGTTTTAGTGTTTTCGTTAGGCCTTTGGACACGTGACGATGCTTTACATCTGAGACGTTTTTTGTGTGATTAGTTGATGTGTTAGTCTGTTATTTCAGTCGAAAATAACTTAGCCCATCTTCAATAAAATCTTGGATCTAACGGAAAGTAGTAACCAGTCATTATGTAGCTGGGCAAAGCTCGTCAACGAAACTGCTTTGTCAATTAAAGGCCAATGGATGTTTTCTGCGAATTAGGACCTGGTGTTGCTGCTTCAAGAGAAAAACAACGGTGCCCTTTCCCCTTTCCGATTTCTCCAGCATACTTTACGCATTTGTCGGAAGTCACCTTCCGTTGACATCGATTCCCCATTGTATTATTGTGCTACCCTTTCACGTGAATAATCTACGTCTGTCTCATGAACATCCTTTCCTTATTCGATTATGTTATTGACAAGGTGGATAACTGCTCTTGCTCGACAAATGTTGTCGTTGCCTGCCAATCATAATGGATCAGTCGTTGCTATAGTAACCCATTACATTATCCTGTTTATTTTTAATACACTTTTCAAATATCCGAGCTAAAGTCCTTCAGTTAATCCGGCGGCTTCAAGAACCTGTTAATAACATAATCGATTTTCAATTTGGCAAGTATGGAGGATGAAAGGTATACCAATGAAGGCATTTAGTCGATATTATGTCTGTCAACATTCACGGAAAAAACAATTTCATAAATGTATGATTACATACTATAAGCATGTATACAGCAAACTAAGCCAAATGAATACAATAAAGCCTCAGAGGTATTCCTTTCTTTTATTGTTTGACATCGCACTCAGCAATAGTCCAGCTATATAACGGCGATCTGTAAATAATTTAGTCTGGAAAAGACAATCCAGTGATTGATATAGTTAGCGACGATCCACGCGTCCGGACACGATGACACGCAATCAACGAGGTCCCCGATCTTGACCACCTGATCCATTTGGTCACCTCTTACGACCAGCATAGGTGGCGGAGACCTATTCTAACCTGGAATCCCAAGAGACTTGGGGTATTCAGTCCAGTATCAATGTCACACGAACAAACCAATCGTGAGGAAGGACACACGAAAAATGTCCCCAGTGGCTTTTGTGTATCGTGGCTGCTACAGATTTTAATATAATATATAGAAACGATAATTAATAACAGGTAAATGTCATGGTACTGTGTGTGTATTTATGAAGACAACAGGTAAATGTCATGGCACTGTGTGTGTATCTATGAAGGCAACAGGTAAATGTCATGGCACTGTGTGTGTATCTATGAAGGCAACAGGTAAATGTCATGGCACTGTGTGTGTATCTATGAAGGCAACAGGTAAATGTCATGGCACTGTGTGTGTATCTATGAAGGCAACAGGTAAATGTCAAGGCACTGTGTGTGTACCTATGAAGGCAACAGGTAAATGTCATGGCACTGTGTGTGTATCTATGAAGGCAACAGGTAAATGTCAAGGCACTGTGTGTGTACCTATGAAGGCATGTAAATGTGATGGCACTGTGTGTGTATCTATGAAGGCAACAGGTAAATGTCATGGCACTGTGTGTGTATCTATGAAGGCAACAGGTAAATGTCAAGGCACTGTGTGTATACCTATGAAGGCATGTAAATGTGATGTCACTGTGCGTGTATCTATGAAGGCAACAGGTAAATGTCATGGCACTGTGTGTGTATCTATGAAGACAACAGGTAAATGTCATGGCACTGTGTGTGTATCTATGAAGGCATGTAAATGTCATGGCACTGTGTGTGTATCTATGAAGGCAACAGGTAAATGTCATGGCACTGTGTTTGTATCTATGAAGGCAACAGGTAAATGTCATGGCACTGTGTGTATATTTTGAAGGCAACAGGTAAATGTCATGGCACTGTGTGTGTGTATCTATGAAGGCAACAGGTAAATGTCATGGCACTGTGTGTGTGTATCTATGAAGGCAACAGGTAAATGTCATGGCACTGTGTGTGTATTTATGAAGGCAACAGGTAAATGTCATGGCACTGTGTGTGTATCTATGAAGACAACAGGTAAATGTCATGGCACTGTGTGTGTATCTATGAAGGCATGTAAATGTCATGGCACTGTGTGTGTATCTATGAAGGCATGTAAATGTCATGGCACTGTGTGTGTATCTATGAAGGCAACAGGTAAATGGCATGGCACTGTGTGTATATTTTGAAGGCAACAGGTAAATGTCATGGCACTGTGTGTGTGTATCTATGAAGGCAACAGGTAAATGTCATGGCACTGTGTGTGTGTATCTATGAAGGCAACAGGTAAATGTCATGGCACTGTGTGTGTATTTATGAAGGCAACAGGTAAATGTCATGGCACTGTGTGTGTATCTATGAAGACAACAGGTAAATGTCATGACACTGTGTGTGATTCGATGAATGCAACAGGTAAATGTCATGGCACTGTGTGTGTATTTATGAAGACAACAGGTAAATGTCATGGCACTGTGTGTGTGTATCTATGAAGGCAACTTATGAAGGCAACAGGTAAATGTCATGGCACTGTGTGTGTATTTATGAAGACAACAGGTAAATGTCATGGCAATGTGTGTGTATCTATGAAGGCAACAGGTAAATGTCATGGCACTGTGCATGTATATATGAAGGCAACAGGTAAATATGATGGCACTGTGTGTGTATTTATGAAGACAACAGCTAAATGTCATGGCACTGTGTGTAAATCTATGAAGGCAACAGGTAAATGTGATGACACTGTGTGTGATTCTATGAATGCAACAGGTAAATGTGATGGCACTGTGTGTGTATCTATGAAGGCAACAGGTAAATGTCATGGCACTGTGTGTGTATCTATGAAGGCAACAGGTAAATGTCATGGCACTGTGTGTGTATCTATGAAGGCAACAGGTAAATGTCATGGCACTGTGTGTGTATTTATGAAGGCAACAGGTAGATGTCATGGCACTGTGTGTGTATTTATGAAGACAACAGGTAAATGTCATGACAC